TATTAAACCATTCTTTTCTGTGAAAATAAAAAAGAAACAAAAAACATAATAAGAAGCAAAAATAAGTAGAATATAATTCTTAAAGAAGAGCTACTGAGTAATTTTCTTTCTATCCCCTCAAATAACCTATGAGTAGTCAATTTCTAGAACTTGTATTAATAAATGATAAAAGTACTTGTATGGTACTTTAAAGTACTTGGAGACAAATATATATAATACATCAAATCTTATTCTCTGAGGTAGTTATATTTTATAAGGTTGCAAAGAATACTAAATTTGCCAATACTAAACCATTGCTCCTAGGGGAAATACAAGTTTTGGTTCCTGTGATTGAAGCATTTTTGTTAATCAATAGATAGCCTAATTTTATATGTATTTCTAAGGGGTTTATTTTGTTTTTTTGCAATGCTATAGGGATTGAACCCCTTGCCTCACACATGTTAAGTACATACTTTATCACTAGCTACATCACCAGCCCTATGTGTATTTGTCAAAAGATGTCATATTTAATACATATTGTTGATTTATTTAAATCAAACCCACAATGAACAGTATGATGACTCTACTTGAACCAAGCTTATCTAAAATGTTTTAGCTCTCAGACTTTTTGTGCTTAGAAATATAGTACTTTGGCAATATACTCAAGGGCCATTTTAATTTTGGGGGTACTGGGGATTGAATCCAGAGGTGCTTTATTGCTGAGCTACATCCCCAACACTTTTATTTAATTATTTAATTTTTATCTTTGTTTTTTGGTACTGGGGATTGAACTCAGAGGCACTTAACCACTGAGCCACATCCCCAGCCCTTTATTTATTTATCTATTTATTTAGTATTTTATTTAGAGACAGGGTCTCACTGAGTTGCTTAGTGCCTCAATACATTGCTGAGACTGGCTTTGAACTCAATATCCTCCTGCCTCAGCCTCCCAAGCCACTGCACCTGGCTTATTTTTTGTTTTGAGACAGAGTCTTGCTAAGTTGCTTAGGGCCCTCACTAAATTGCTGAGGCTGGCTTTGAACTTGCAATCCTCCTGCCTCAGCTTCCCCAGTTGCTGGGACAATAGTTGTGCACCACCATGCCTGGCTTGAGGGCCATTTTAGATAGCAAAGTCAGAAAAAAAAAAAAAAAGGAAATGAAATAATTTAAAACACACACAAAAAAAAATTTTTAAAGTGACAATAAATTGATCACAAAAAGGACTCAACATCTTTATAAGAGATGAAACAATAAGACAGAGCACTGTTTTGTTTGACCTCAGCTGGAAACATGCATATAGGGTGACTCAAACTTTTTGCCACTCTGTGCAGTGTTGATAAAGAATACCCGTGGTCCAAAAAGGACCACAGGTATTGATTTTGAAGTTACAAATAAATTTCAGTGAGCACACAAATCCACAAACAAGGTATCTGCAAATAGTGAGGAGTGACTGTGCTACCGGATTCCCTTACTCTGGGTTCCTTTGCTCTAGATAATTGCAAGGCAAATTTACCCTGATGTTAAAGATTCTCACAGAAGTCCTACTTGCAGGTGCTATAAGTACCTCTTGTGAAGTTCATAAATCACCTCAACTTTGTTTCTAAGCACACATGTGCTAGTCAAAATCTTCTGCCAAATCCAAATGTAACAGTGACAGGAAAAAGAAGAAGAGAATTCAATCTATTTTCTTTTATTTTTTGGTAGTACCAAGGATCAGACCCAGGGGCACCATGTATGCTAGGCTACCAATCTACAGCCTGTCAATCTATCTTCTTAAAGCAATATTCACCAACATTGTAGTGTTAACTGGAGCCTATGACTGGATGCAAGAGCAAGTCTTAAACAATGTATACGTGTAGGCTTATAAGGGGTCATATTCAGACATGCAAACTATCTCTACCCAAATAGGCATACCCATGCTTGGGCTGTCTGGCTGCTGAAAACAACCCTGGCACACATACAACCTAGTGCTTCTTTTTTTTTCTTCTTCTTCTTTTTTTGTACTAAGAATTGAGCCCAGGGTCACCTTCTACTGAGCAACATCCCCAGTCCTTTTTATTTTGAGACAGGGCTTTACTAAATCACTAAGGCTGGCCTTAAACTTGCTACCTCAGTATCCTGACTTGCTGGGATTATAGGTGTGCACCACCATGCCCATCTACAATCTTATTATTCTGCCATGCTTCCTTACTCAGTCTCTTCCTCTTGTCTCCATACCAACTGTCAAATGTTCTCTATTCTTCTCAAATATCCAACTATGATATCTATCCTGTGCTCTCATTACTTCTACTCCTAACTTCACAGAAAAAAAAAACTTGATTAAAAAATGTGTTTCCAACTTCTTGACAATAAAACCTTTAAACTTATCCATATTCATCCTCCCCTATTACCTTCCTGTTTTAACAGAACAGAATTCTATCTTCCCAACTAAATCAAATCCTACTATGCCCGTAATCAAACTCTTTCATCTTCTCGGGGACTACTCACCATCAATTATCCCTTCTCACTTCTGTTTCTTCAACTTTTCACCCACTATTGGCTTCTTCCCATCAGCACAGAACGAATTCAGGTTTTTCCCATCTCTCCAAAATAAATCCTCTACCTTCCTTTCAGGTATTGCTCTCTGCATTTATCTTTAAAGTCAACTCCTTGGATTTCTAAACTCACTATGTCCCTCTTTTTTTTTTTTTTTTTTAATTTCCATTCAGTCCTGAATCTTTTATGGTCTATCTTCTGTTTCTGCCAATCCAATGAAACTATTTGTGCCATCCATGGTCACTGTATCCTTGCTGCTAAATCTTTTTGTTTTGCAGAGGGTACCAGGGACTGAACTCAGGGTTGCTCTACTCAGGGTTGCTACATCCCCACCCCTTTTTATTTTGTACTTCTAAAACTTTCTTTCAAAAAAACAATTTGGGAACATGCCATGAATCACTTTAATATTTCAGGTGCAAATTCTTTCTTTCTTTATTTTTTTATGTTGTGCTGAGGATCAAACCCAGTGCCTCACACATGAGAGGCAAGTGCTCAACCATTGAGCTCCAACCCCAGTCTTTTTTATTTTGAGACAGGGTCTTGCTCAGTTGTGTGGGGCTTTGCTAAATTTCTAAGGCTGGCCTGGAACTCACAATCCTGCTGTCTCAGCCCTTGAGTTGCTGCAATTAAAGGTGTACACCATCACAGCCAACTCTTATTGCTAATCTTATAAATGCTTCTCAGGATTTTAATATTTCATAATACTTCCTCTTTGCAAGATTCTCTTTCCTCAGCTTTTCTGACCACCTTTCCTTGATCCTTTTATAACCACCTTCCCCTTAATATCTAAAATACCTTTATTCAGTCTTCGTAGCTTCTTTTTCTCTTTTGGTCCCTTAAATGTAGGAATTCTTGAAGATTCTATTCTATTCTATTCTCATTTCTTCTTTATACAAAACATTCTCTTGCCCACATACATGGCTTTAGTTACTGGATTTTTTTTTTAATAATAATACTAGGGATTGAACCCAGTAGTACTTTACCACTGAGCTATTTCCCAGCCCTTTTTATTTTTTGAGACAGGGTCTTGCTAAGTTGCTGAAGCTAACCTAAACTTTCAATCCTCCTGCCTCAGCCTCCAGAGCCCCTGTGCCTGGCTCATTTACTCCTAATGTGCAAGCAATTTCCAAAACTCTGGACTTAATACTTTTGAGCTTCAGTCTAGACAATGATTTACTAGATGCTTCACTGTATGGTGTTCCCAAAGCCATCTCCTCTATAACAGATCTTAAATTATTTGCTTATTTTTTCTAAGAAAGGGAAATAAGTAATTAAATTTATGATAGGTGCTACAAAGGAAATGATCAACAGGCTAAAATATGAAAGAAAGAAACTACCTTAGATAGAGTGTCAAAGGGAATTTTTAAGGCAGTAGTGTTTGAGATAAGACAAAGACGAGAAAAAGCTTGCTTATGAAAGGAATGAGATAGTGGTTGCAAAGACTTGATGTAAGAAAGAATTTGACATGTTTAATAAATGGAAAGCTGACATATGTGGCTGGAGAATGAGGCTGAAAAAAAATACACAAAGACCCAAACATGAAAGTCCTTATAAAAGCTAAGATAAAGAATTTGGATTTTATTCTAAATATAATGGATGTTATACAGGAAGCAACATAAACTAATTTATATTTACACCTGCTGCTGTGTAAAAAAAATGGATTACAAACAGTCAGGAAGGGAAGATTAATCAGAAAGTTGATACAATGGATAAAGTGAAAGCTATACTCTGGAACAGGCTGACGACAATGAGATGAAGAAAAGCAGACAGTTTTGAGGTGATTTTAAAGGTAGAACTCATAAGACTTGCTAATGCATGGCATGTAGGAGGTGAGAAAAAAGAAAGAATGATTTCCAATTTTAGTTTGAACTAGTTTAAAGGTGATTTACTGAGAAAAACTTGGGTGGGGTGAAAAATAAAAGGTTTTATGAGAGAAATCAAAGTTCCATCGTGTACATGTTAAGTTCAGAAAATCTGTGAAACATGTTATGGACACAGAATGTATGATGATAGGCCCATAGAAGTCTGGAGTTCAGTAAGAGAGGTACACTGGAGACAGTGTGACTGGAAGCTGCCAAGCTCACAGTGGCAGATTTTTATTTGAAAGTCTGAATTTTATCACCGATAATAAATACTATGAGTACTTTTTCTTGCTCTCTCTCTCTCTCTTTTTCCCTGCTATCACTTTTCCTCAAGGTGACAGGCTTACTTTGTCCCAAAAAAAAAAGTCTGCCAAATACCCAAGTATAATTTATTAAGGTCTGTTAAAGTGGTATTCTGTTTAGAGGAAGGGTTGTTCAGTTTGCAACTCAATCATGAGTGCTTTCCCTTCAAGATAATCACCATACTCCAGAAAGAAACAGAAGTGCTTTATATGCATTTCCCATTTCACAAAAAAAAAAAAAAAAAAAGGAGAGAGAGAGAATGAGAATGGCATACCAGAGTTGGTATTTAATAAAATTAACAATTTAATGGTTTCATCACAGGCATTCCTAAGTAAAACTGTAAAAAGAAGTTAATCACAAGTGCATGGCAATGGAGAATTCAATGACAACTCACGAAGTTTGCTACCACTGCCTTGGTAAGCTCAGGAAGTTTTATTTTCCATTGGGTAAGTACCATTAGTGCAAATAGTCACATGATAGACAAGGCAAACAACATCTTAGCATTATTATCAAAGTGTTTTTGACCATACAGTCCCTGTGGAAGGGTATCAGGGACACTCAAAGGAGACCATGAACCATACTTTGAGAATCACTGCCAGGTCTGGAGGTTAACAAAGGTTGTGGGGAGGAAGAGGACATGAATGTTTTTACCTGATGACAGGTATCTCAGAAAGTCTTTTCATTTTTACAAACTTTAAGACTTTACTTATATTTCAGAACTTATGCACTGCCAATGGGGATTTCCTTTTCATCTTTCTCCTTTTAGTTCAGGGTCTTTTCAAGGTCAAAAGAATTTTCATAAAAATACTAAAATGTCATTTAGTTTTTTACTCTTCATTCTCTTGCTTAGTACAAAGAGGAGTTTTCCAAACCTCCAATGATATCATCTCTGCACTGCCTAATGGATGTAGCCTTGTGTTTTTTTGCTAAAAATTTCCAACATTTGAGAAATGTAAATAAAAGTGTTTTGTCTCATTACTTCTACTGTGCTCCTAGCTTACCTGCTAGATTCTCTGTAACTTCACATAATAAATTATTTTTAAAACCCAAAGGTGTGTCAGGCATCATGATGGATGCCTGTAATCCCAGGGACTCAGGAGACTGAGGGAAGAGGATCCTAAGTTTGAGGACAGCCTAAACAAATCAGTGAGACTCTGTCTCAAACTAAAATGATGAATAAAAAAAAAGGGCTAGGGATGTAGCTCAGTGGTAAAGCATCCCTGGATTCATTCTCTAGTACAAAACAAAACAAAAACTTCTACCATGGCTGCATCATCATCTATGTCTAAAGATACTGAAAAAGAAGAAACTAACATATTAGAGCATTCTCTGACTCATAGAAGAAGCTACTCCAGAGAGAAAATTTTTAAGTAAAAAATAGAAATCTATACTTCACTTAGATTTAAAAGATAATAATACAGCTTAGTTTGTCTTACGCAACATTTTTTTAACAGTATTATGGTGCAAGTTAAGTTATAGCATCATTTTCAGACTAAATCATTTACAGTTTAATAAGAAAGGAACTAAATATTTACAACAGAAGCAAAATGAGCTCTTTAAAGTGTGTCACATGATGTGAAGACTGACTCAACACAAAAATGAAATGAGCCATGTGTGATGGCACATACCTGCAACCTCAGTGACTCAGGAGCCTGAAGCAGGAGGATCCCCAAATTTGAGGCCAGCCTTAACAATTTAGCATGGTCCTATGAAACTTAGTGACACAGTTTCAAAAAAAAATTTTTTTTAAGGTGTGGGGAGGGGCTAGGGTTGTGTCTTAGTGGTGGAGTGCTTGCCTAGTATATATGAGGAAGTGGGTTCGATCCTCAGCACCACATAGAAATAAAGTATATTGTGTCCACCTAAAACTAAAAAAATACAAATTTTAAAAAAAAAGGTCTGGGGAGCTGGGCACGATGGTGTACACCTATAATCTCAGCAGCTCGGGAGGCTGAGGCAGGAGGATCGGGAGTTCAAAGTGAGCCTCAGCAATTTAGCGAGGTCCTAAGCAACTCAATGAGACCCTGTCTCTAAGTAAAGCACAAAAAAGAATTAAGGTGTGGTTCAGTGGCTAAGTGCTCCTAAATTCAATACCATCAATATAAAAATCCAGTACCCATACACAAAAAAAGAACAAAGATGAGATGACCCAAAATCACCACTTAAAATGCAGTCATTGTAAATGCTTCCAGAAAAATTGCCAATAAAAATTTGAAAAAGCTCTACTTAGGAGTTTTTTTATGTTGTTGAAATAATCTGTAGACAGTAAAGGGGTCTGTATTTCTAATGATAAGAATCTTTTTTTTTTGTATTGCTGGGGAGAGAACCCAGGGCCTCACACTTTCTAGGCAAGCACTGTATCACTGAGCTATATATCCCCAGCCCAAGAATCTCCTTCAATTCTGTTTCAGATAGGTACCTAGCAAGGATCAGAAAAAAAAATCCACAAAACCCTTCTCTGTGGAAATTCCAAGTCTCAGAGGAACAATGTAGCCAGAGTAGTCTTCCAGAAATCCAACAGCTCAGAGTTTGGGCTGGCTGCTTTCCCTTCTCTTTACTATCAAGAAAACAATGCAGGGGGTGGGGTTGTGGCTCAGCGTTAGGCCCTGGTTCAATCCTCAGCACCACATAAAAATAAATTAAAGATATTGTGTCCAACTACAACTAAAAAAATAAATATTTTAAAAAAAACAATGCAGGGGGTGGGGGAAGCATGACTACTTTTCTCAAAGAAATCATTGCTATGGGAGTTATGTAACAAAGTGGTCTTGGGGAAGAACTGGCTCTTAATTTTGATAATCATCTAACTAAGTACAACAGAGGAACATTTCTTAAAGAAGTCACCAAAATTTTCCAGAGTACTCTGCCTGAGTGGTAACAGAATGGGTGAGCTCCCAGAAGAGTGATTTGAAGGTCACCATGATGCCTCCATGAACAAAAGGAAGAGAACATGTTTTTCCCAGATTCAAACTAGCTTTGAAGGCCTAGATTTCTGTTCAGTAAAAAGCTACCAGGTAATCTCTGAATTAACTACTGTTTACAATTCCCAGATCACCTATATTTATAGTGACTAACATATCTCTAGTTTTTACCATGAAGTTTGCTTCAAATTTATTATGTACTGAAAGAATTTAATGAAGTAATAAACAGCATATATACAAAAGAGAAATGTCTGTAGATAAACTCTGGGTATCAAATTAAAACATGGATAAACAACAGACTCTTAACAAATCAGCTTCAGAGTTCACATGTGGAGAGAAAGGGAAAGCAGAAATACAGAATACGAATACATATGGAAACTAAGACTGAGCAATCAGCATTCTAAGATAAACCTGAAGGAAGTGATCATGAACATAATCAAAATTGTAATGTGGGTGGTGTGGAGGAATAATATATTGTTACATGCAATCTAAGGAGCTGAGATTTACAGGCGAGTTGCTGGGATCACAGGTATAAGCCACCTTGTCCAGGAAGTATAGGCTTTTTTTGTGTATATAGGTGTAGCCCAAGATCCCTCTCCCATATATTCAGAAAGGAATCCACAGGGGAAGTTGGTGCTGGTACTCAAAGTAGATTATTTATTACATTATATTTGTGAAAAGCTTTCAAGTAAGTATTTGTGTACCATTCAAAAATGGTAAATAAAGAATACAACTGAAAGGAAATTGAAATCTTCCTTAGAATAGTGAAATAAGTGTCTTTTAATTACTGGGGTTCAATATTTTCCCTCATCATTTCTCTCCATCAATATAAAAATCCAGATATTTATTTTCTGTTCATTCATTAGATTATAATTCTATCTTTCCAAGGACCATAACTGCACACTATCACTGTAAAAACACAACTGACAGTAGTAGTAAAAGTGAGAAAAAGAACCAAAATTTTCCCATTAAGCAAGTTTAGACCAACAGTCCAGAATTATTGACCATCTCCACGAAGTTTCTTTTTACTTTATTTCATTTTACTTTTGTGTCATACCATGGATGAACCCAGGGTTGCTCTACTACTGAGCTACATCCCCAGCACTTTTTATTATTTACTTAATTTTGAGACAGGGTCTCATTATGCTGATGAGGCAGGAGGATCGCAATTTTGAGGCCAGCCTCCATGTAGCTGGACTACAGCATGTAACCTATTGAGATTGGTTTCTTCATTTAGAAAAATTCATTTAAGGTTCTCTCATGATTTTTCATGGCTTGATAGCTCATTTCATTTTACTGCTGAATAAGAGTCCACCGTCTGCTGTGCACAGTGTTTCACACCTGTAATCCCAGCAACTCAGGAGGCTGAGGTAGGAGGATTCCAAGCTTGAGGCCAGCCTGGGTAAATTAGCTACCCTGTCTCAAAAGATAAAAAGGGCAGCTGGGTAGTAGAATGCCCCCGTGTCTGGGTTCAATCCCCGGTAGTGGGCAAGGTTTGGCAGAAGGTGTGGGGTGTAACAGTTTATTTACATTCTGAAACACATCTTGGCTACTTCCCAGTTTGAGAAATTATAAATAAAGTTTCTATAAATACCTATGTATAAGTTTTTTCAACTCCTTTGGGTATATACCAAGGGCGCAATTGCTAGATCATATAGTTAAGAATGTTTATTTTACTTGTCCATGTGCAGTATTATGAATTGAACTCAGGGCTTTCTGCCACTGAGCTATATCCCCAGCACCGGTTTGTACCAGCGATTGAACCCAGGGGTAGTTAACCAATGAGTCACATCCTCAGCCCTTTTTACATTTTATTTTAAGACAAGGTTTCACTGTGTGGCTTAGGGACTCACTAAATTGCTGAGGCTGGCTTTGAACTCGGCCATCCTCCTGCCTCAGCCTCCCCAGCCATAAATCAAAATAAATCATTACTCCTTTAAGTTGAATTATCTCAGGTATTTTGTTGCAGTGATGGACGGCTGCCTAACTGTGGGGAGCCACTCTGAATGATTTTGCCTTCCATCCTGAAGCATGAGGCTTTGACCAGTCATGTTGTCCTGGTCCAGGAAGTTGAGGGCGTGTCTTCAAATGTAGATGTGTCACCCATGGAATTGACCTACATTCACCTATTCCTTTATAATACTACCCCTTTGCCCTGCTTGGGATGGAAAATTCCATGGAAATGCCCTTTGTGTGTCCCCTTCTGTGGCTCTGCCTTTGAGAGTGGCCTTCCTAGATGTCAGTCAACCTGCTCACAGCAGACATCATGAAGCTAGACTCAACTCCCTGAAACCTGACCCCTGGTCTCATTTGAATGGCTTCTCCTCAATAAAAGGGTTCAGCACCAGTGGCGCAGGTGATCTCTCTCTCTCTCTCCCCCCTTAAGGTGAGTGGAGCCATCATAGGACCCCCCAAAAAGGTATCTCTGTCTCTTGTGTGGTTATTTCGTGCAGCCCAGTTCACCTGGAATGACCCTGAGTGTTTTAGTTTCGAAGAATGTGACACTTAACACTCTTCCTAATTAT